TCTGTCAATCATGTATTGTTCTTAAATGTTAAATGGGCTGTATTTTATAACCTAGTGAGCTGGGAACCACAATTGTGTGCCCCATAGACTCATTCGAGAATTTGAAATCAAGTACGATGTCTACCCAGCATTTCTGGGTATCACCAGTGAAAAGGGGTATTGTGAAATGAAAATTGAAATTTAATTAGATTAAGTGTATTTAGTGGCTTAATATTTTAATAATCTCTAGTTTGTAAACTTTCCTTTTCTTCTGTTTTCTCAGGCGAACCAGGCAGCGGAACAGAGAGCGACACGTCCCCAGATCTCCAAAACCAGGAAAACGAACCTAGTCAGGATGACACCGAGGAGGCAGATGGAGCCCTGCAAGACCTGAAACCCCAGAAAGCTGCTTCGTCCTCCTCTGGAAGCCACCACAGCAGCCACAAGAAACGCAAGAACAAGAACAGACACAGGTACCTGATCTCCAGCAGGCCCTCGGGCTCCAGGATATAAGATGGTTCTTTACTTACAACCTCATTCTGGCTGATCCAGTGCTTATTGAAACACACTGTTATTTGATTGTAAAATGATGCATTGTCTTGTGGACACATCTGAATATGGGAGCAGTTGTAAATTAACATATTCATGGATTATTATGATAGCTATGCTTCTTTTCCCAAACGGGAGGGTTTTACTTCAGGTTCATAGTGCTGTGGCTCCTGCTCAGCTCAATTTGCTTTGGTTTCTCCTTTTAGTATCTTTATCTACTCTTTCCTCTCATGTGGATCCAGCCTGGAGTCTCTTACTCTGTCCTGATGTTTGATGCTGTTTTGGTCCACTTTTGACTGGTTTGATCAGATCTTCTCTGCTCAGCTTTAACATCCATCCGTGTTTGTATTAGATGGACAAAAGTAAGATTTGAGAAGCTATTTGTCCTTGATTCAGCCCAGAGTATTTACAGCCACTACTGCATTTATAGATGATTTATGGATTGAAAGGTTAGATATTAACAGGGTTTAATATTAACCTTAACCTTAAAATTAAATATACTGGCCTGTTTGTCTGTATTTTTTTTTTTTTTAGGAATTGCATAATACATTATTGTCATGCAAAAATGAGGGAAGTCGTGGCCTAATGGTTAGAGAGTCAGACTCGTAACCCAAAGGTTGCGGGTTTGAGTCTCGTACCGGCAGGGATTGTAGGTGGGGGAAGTGAATGTACAGCACTCTCTCCCACCTTCAATACCACGACTGAGGTGCCCTTGAGCAAGGCACCGAACCCCCAACTGCTCCCCGGGCGCCGCAGCATAAATGGCTGCCCACTGCTCCGGGTGTGTGTTCACTGCTGTGTGTGTGCACTTTGGATGGGTTAAATGCAGAGCACTAATTCCAAGTATGGGTCAGTACTTGGCCACATGTCACGTCACTTTCAAAAGAAACACTATTGGCTGCCACAATGAATATTTAATGAATGAAATCAAAGTTTGTCTTGTATGGTTTGCCTCAAAAATATGATGACGAAAATGGCAAAGTAATATATTATAGGCACAAATTTCACATTTTAAATTAAAGTTTAAATGAAATTAAGTAATTTTTTGTTACATTTTTAATTAAATTACATTTTAATAATGTTATATCCGTTACATATTCCAGCCATTAACAAGTTTGAATTGCTCTTCAAACCCTTGTCTTGATCTTTCTGTCTTTCTTTTGGAAACTGATGGTTGCATCCAGGATCACTTCAGATAAAATAAGATGAGCACTAGTTCGGGTCCTATATTTACTAACACACTAGAGAGGATGCATTAGTGTATGTCCTGTTGTTCATCTAGTCTACTACTCAAGGTATAAATCCACGCATTCACACACTATGTAGTGGACTGTGGGATTGATGTGCTGCTCAGTGTAGTGCACTAACCTCTGATGCTCTCTTCCTTCCTAACGCTGCCCCCTTCAGCCCTTCTGGCATGTTTGATTATGACTTTGAGTAAGTCTCAATTTTATTTCCTGTTTCTCACTCCCGTGTCTTCTGTCCGTTAGCTGCTGGGGCCGTCCACGTCGCGTGGATGAATGCTATGACGCTTGCTTCTACCTCAGCATTCGCAGATGTTGCTGCAGTTTCTTTTTTGGTTTTGCTTGGTTTTACCATTATTTTTCAGCTGCATGTTTGTGGAATTCATAGACATGAATGGGTTTATAGTTAGTTGCATGCAGGGGTTTAAACAGGTTCATTTGTTTATCTGATCTTGATGGGCCTCTTGTTAATTTATGTTTTTTTTCTTACAGATTTGATTTGAAGATGAACAAGAAACCCAGAGCAGTAAGTTTAGATGCACTAAAATATGTTTTGTGTATATATGTGTGTGTATATATAAATGCATATTTTATCTATAGAAACTTTCACTTTTGTTTGTAAGACACTATTGTGTCATATCTGTATCCTGAGTGTTTTTTCTCAGTATAATTGTTTGATTCTGCAGGATTACTCGGCCTAATAGATCCGGATAATATTCATGCAAACCAAACCTCTTCCATCATCTCCAGTTCTCTCCGGTCTAGATCGTCTGGATCTTACACTGCATTTCTCCTTGTTTGTGTTTGCTTCTTTCTCGACTGTAGTGAAGCTCTCGTGATTTTTATTCTCTGATGGATTCAGATCCGCCTGTTATTGCATGATATGTACTGCAGACATGAGGTTCCAATTCTGCTCATAATTATGGAAACGTTTTATTTATGATGTTACATGGATGATGTATCAGTGGATCCAAACCTTTCCCTCATGCTTTTGGATATCCTTCACTTTTGGTTTGTAAAACTTGTGTAGCTAATGTAAAAAGTTGGTCATGTCTTTACTTTTTGTTGTTTTATACCATCTTGTTTTGAATAAAACTGAAATAAGATACGTTGTTTGTTGACTAGTTCTTGGAATAAACATTTTTAACCTTCCATCATTTGGACAGTAATCATAATAACGAATGAAAGCTGTTCTTAGAACCATCATTAGTTGTCAGAAACAGCAGAAAAATAAGTCCCAATACAAAGACACAAATGAACGCAACACATGAATACAAGGGACATATTTAAATGCAATGTAAATGTAATGTAAATATAGGAGGAACACTGACAACTGTACTTCAGTGAGAGATTCAGAGAAAGTGCAACTCACTTGATCAACGCCTGAAACAGAATAATTATTGAGCTGTTCAAAAACCTTTGTGGACACATCTGATACTCGCAGGTAAGCGATAGAAATATAAGAGATTGTATTGAACAGGTTTCTAATGGAAGTGGTCTCGTTTAGTCGGGTTTATGTGAAGCTGGAAACAGTTTTAGCAGAACCAGATTTAATCGTCAAGTACTGAACTAAAATTAAGACACAAATAAAAGTTGCATTAATGTGTTTCACTTGTTTTGTTTCTAAAGTTTTGCGTTTCTGTCATTTTCCCACTCGACACAAAGACTAAATAAAGGAAATATATATGGAAATATATATGACCTTGAGGCATAGACACATCCGCCACACCAGCTACAATGTTTGGTCTGTTCGTTAGGGAGAGTAATGAAAAATGACTAAATGCAAATATGCATGAAGATAAAAATCTGATTTTTTTCATAGAGATACATTCAAGCTAATTAATATTGTTTGCCTTTGATATAAACAGCAAATTATTAGGGTGATTTGTTTTTTGGAGTGCACTCGCTATGTTTAGAAAGGAAATGTTCTCCCACAAAATGTTTAGTGCGTTTAAGTGGTATCAGAATCGAATTAAAGATATGTAATTTGATTGGTTGTAATGTTTGTCGCTTCTGTCACTTTTTTTGTCACATGATATAAAGACTAAAGCAGGGGAGCCCTAGGGTTAGGGTTAGAGCTAAACTCTGCAGGACACCGGCCCTCCAGGACCGAGTTTGGGCACCCCTGGACTAAAGAAACAGGAAGTAAATGACCTGCAGACAGACTGAACACAAACCTGTTTACACTGCATCTGTATCCCATTTACATAAAACAAGATTAAAACTACACTTGGCCATACAAAATATGACAAATTTGAAAGAGAAAATGCTATTTTCTTTGAGGCACAAAACAGCACCACTGCACAGAAGACTCCACCTCCTCCCGGCGACCAGGTGATGACGCTGTCCCCGGACAGCGTGAGGAGATCCCTCAGCAGGATCAATGCACGCAAAGCTCCGGGTCCTGACAACATTCCTGGGATTCCTCATTACTGAGAGACTGTGCAGTGGAACTCACTGATGTCTTCACAGACATTTTCAACATCTCGCTAAGCCAGGCTGTTGTCCCCGCATGCTTCAAAGCCACCACCATCATTCCAGTCCCGAAGAAGTCGTCTCCATCCTGCTTCAAGTCTGCTGCCATCAGGGAGGAGACTGCGGAGTCTCCAGGCCAGGACCAGCAGACTGAAGGACAGCTTCATCCATCAGGCTGTCAGGAAGCTGAACTCCCTCCCGACCTTGCCCCCCCTCCCCTCTTTTGCCCCACGCACCGCTGAACTCTGATGGACTCTCCCACTCCCCCCTCCCAAATGCACAAACACAGTCACTTTAATCAGTCTAAATAAGCTCTTTTTGCACTACAAATCATTATATCTGCACTGTTGTTTACTTCACTGGTTTGCACTCTACCTGCCATGTGCCGTGTGCTGCTTTATATATATATTTTTATATATTTTTTTACATTTTACCTTATTTGTATATTTGTATAGTTGTATTTTATACTTAATCTGTATATCTGTATTTATGTTCTACTGTTAGTGTTATCTGTATGCACCAAGGGTCTGAGAGTAACGCAATTTCAATTCTATGTGTGTATGTGCTGTACATGTGGAAGAATTGACAATAAAGCAGACTTGACTTGACTTGACTTGACTATACGTCTTTAATATAAACAAAAGAACAGCAGTTTCTAGATCAGATTGTGTTGTTTTGTTCTTGAAAAGGTATGAGTAAAGGAATAGCAGTGGTGAAATCTTCTCCAACATCACCGAGAAGAGAAATGAGGATAGCAAGTATTGATAATCCTCCATGTGAGTAAATCTATATGATGTTTTATCTTCTTGAAAACCTGAAAATAACCGGCCTTTCTCTAGATTCAAGCTCTGCACCTAATGGAAATTTCCATAACAGTATTTTTACTTTACACTAATAGTGCAGGTTATTATAATTTCTCCATCCAGGCATGTCATCCTCCAGTGAACTTAAGTGCTCTATATGTCTGGATGTGTTCACTGATCCAGTCAGCACTCCATGTGGACACAACTTCTGCAAGACCTGTTTGAATAAGTGCTGGGACAACAGCCAGACCTGCAGCTGTCCATACTGTAAAGAAACATTCAAGCAAAGACCTGATCTCAAGATTAATACCACACTCCGAGAGATCGTAGATCACTATAAAAAGAAAAGTCTTGAGAAAAAAAGTGTGACTTTCAGTGAAGTTCTGTGTGACATCTGTGAGGAAAGAAAGCTGAAAGCTCTGAAGTCGTGTCTGGTGTGTCAGAGCTCTTACTGTGAAACTCACCTGGAGCCTCATTTGAGAGTGGCAGGTTTAAAGAAACACAAACTGATGGATCCTGTGAGTAATCTGGAGGACTATATATGTCAGAAACATGAGAGACCTCTGGAGCTGTTCTGTAGAGATGATCAGACATGTGTGTGTCTCTCCTGCACTGAAGGAGATCAAAAGAACCACAACACTGTTTCTTTAGAAGAGGTGAGTACTAAGTGCGATCAATGTTAAATAATACTTCCCTTATAAATTAAAATTATATCATTATTTATTCACCCTCATGTCATTGGCAATTACATTTTCTCTGTTAGACTGAGTTGGTGATCCAAGACGTGCAGCAGATGATCCAAGACAGAATCAAGAAGATTCAAGACATCAAACTCTCAGCAGAAGTCAGAAAAGTGAGTGGTTGTGGATGGTTAATTATTGGACACATGAATTGAGATATAACTAAAGTCTGTAACATGAACTGTGCATAACGCAGACAACACCACTAATAATTTGTTGACTGAACTTGTTGAGCAGAGACACACAGAGAAGGAGAAAGCAGCTCGTGTTGAGCTCTTCACTGATCTCATCCGCTCCATTGAGAGATGTCAGACTGAAGTGCTGGAGATGATGGAGGAGCAGCAGAAAGCAGCAGAGAAACAGGATAAAGAGCTCACTGAAGATCTGGAGCAGGAGATCACTGAGCTAAAGATGAGAAACACTGAGCTGGAGCAGCTCTCACACACTGAAGATCACCTCCACCTCCTACAGGTCAGTGAACATCTCTCTGATCAATGATAATGCAGTATATGACACCATAACACTCCCCGTGCTGAAGGATTTCTCCTCTCTCCTGCTGTAGATTTACTCATCCCTGTGCAGCCCTACAAACACCAGGAACTGGCCTGAGATCAGTATGAAGACTCATAAGAATCTGAAGACTCTGAGGAGAGCTCTGACTCAACTGCAGGAAACTCTACATGAGAAACTCGCACAAACTAGTTTGTCCGTCCTTACACTGATCAGATAAAAACATAATGTTGTAAATCCACATATAAAAACATCTCAAAGATCGCATGATATTTTATTGTCATGTGTCTTTACAGAGCTGAAGTGGATGCAGCAGTATGCAGGTACAGTGTGTCTGCACTACACTTACATTCACAGCTTCACTGCACTACAATCTGACTAAAAACTGGATTAAATCTCCTCTCCACCAATAAACTGGTGTGTGGTGGGCGTTCTGGCACACTATGGCTGCCGTCGCATCATCCAGGTGGATGCTGCACACTGGTGGTGGATGAGGAGACACCCCCTGACAATGTAAAGCGCTTTGAGTGCCTAGAAAAGCGCTATATAAATGTAATGAATTATTATTATTATTATTATTAAATATAATAATAATCATCAAAAATGTTTGCATTGTGAATTTGTGATTCATATTTTCTGTTTTCTCAGTGGATGTGACTCTGGATCCTGATACAGCTCATCCAAATCTCATCCTGTCTGATTATGGAAAACAAGTGAAATGTGGAGACATTTGGCAGAAACTCCCAGACAACCCAGAGAGATTTGATCACGGTTCAAATATCCTGGCAAAGGAGGGATTCTCCTCAGGGAGATTTTATTTTGAGGTGCAGGTGAAGGGAAAGACTAACTGGACTTTAGGAGTGGCCCAAGAATCCATTAAAAGGAAGGGAGAGATCAAACTGAGACCCAGTAATGGATTTTGGACAGTGATTCTGAGGAATAAGAATGAATATAAAGCCTGTGCTGGTCCCACTGTCTCTCTGTCTGTGAGAGTGAAACCGCAGCAGATCAGTGTGTTTGTGGATTATGAGGAGGGTCTGGTCTCCTTTTATGATGTGGAGTCCAGCTCTCATATCTACTCTTACACTGGTCAGCCTTTCAACGGGAAACTCTATCCATATTTTGGCCCATCCTTAAACTATGGAGGTGTAAACTCAATCCCACTGATCATCACACCTGTCAATTACAATAAATGAATTTATATCCCTGATATGAAAGATGAAAATAATAATTTTATGTAAAAACATGATGTATGTGGGATGAAGGGCCTTTATGGTTTGTTTTTCAGTTTTTAGAATCTGCTATGATTATATATTTTAATCTATGTAACACAATGCTTGTTTTATTCATGACATTTTCCCCATCGTTACCTGACACCTAATTCTGTCTGTAAAATATTTACATCAAAATAAAACAAAATAATCTGAATAAACTGGTGTATCAAGGCTGTTTCTATAATCTTCCTTACAAAATGTTTTGGGATATTATTGTGTTACATCAGATGGTAATATCTTGATTTATATAACAGAGCTGTATGATTACCATATTCATATTCCATAGTGTGTATATAGCACTTCAAGGTATCTAAAAAAAGATACTATAGTGTCCAAAAACATGATATTACCATGGTACCACGTTAAATGTTTGAACCATGGTAAAACCTGCAGGTATGTAAGTTAGTTATGCATGTTTTACCATAAGAATAGAATCAATTACAGCTGAGTTACATTGTATAGACAAATTTCAATACACACTGGTTTCACTGAAATTCTCCCATTCCTACAAAAATTGGGACATTTTGTAAAATGCAGTAAAAACAAGAATCTGTGATTTGTTAACTCTCTTTAAGCTTTATTTAATTGACAAAAGTTCAAAGAAAAGATTTCCAATGTGTTCATTGACCAACTTAATTGAATTTCACATTCACATTTTGATTTTGAAGGCCGCAGCACATTCCAAAAACATTGGGACAGGGGAAAAATAAGTGAAAAGATTATAGAATATTCAAGTTAAACAGTTTTGAAATGTTCCACAATAAGCGGGCAAATTGGTTATAGTTGAGGGTATCATGACTGCGTAAACGAAAATAAACACACACCAACCAAAATCTGTCTTTGCAAGAAAAGATGGTTTATGGCTTATCACTTCATGCCTCTTAATGAGAGAATTGTCACACTGTTCAAAAATAAAATTTCTCAATGCAAAAAAGAATTTAGGTCTTTCTCCATACCATACATTACACTGTGAAACAATTCAGGGAATCTGGAGAAATCTCAGTAGGGAAAGACAGGACAGCTCTGTTGAATATGTATCATTTTCGAGCCCAGGTTGGCATTGTTTGAGAAACCATAATTCTACTATGTTAAATATAGTCACATGGACTCGGGAGTACTTCGCAAATCCATTGTCACTTAACAGTCCATAGCTGCCTCAAGAAATGCAACTTGAATCTTTGTTACACAAGGAGAAAGCCATGCATCAATCCGATGCAGAGAAGTTCTCTGGGCCCGAGGTCATCACAGATGTACTGTGGTCAGATGAGTCCACATTTCAGCTTTTTTCTCTTTGGGGGGGGGGACAGACATTGAGTTCTCCATGCCAATGAAAAATGGGACCATTCAGACTTTTATCAGCGACAGGTGCAAAAGCCTGTCATGTTATGAGGTACATTAGTTGCCATGGCATGGGTGACTTGCGTGAAGGTACCATTGAGGCTGAGGCATATATTGGGATGGTAAAGAGACATATTCTGTCATTAAAAAGGACATAATTTCCAGGGACATTAATGGTTATTAAAGCAAGACAATGCCAGCCCTCATTCTGCATGTGCAACAACTGTGTGGTTTAGACACTGAGTATATGTGCTTGACTGACCTGCCTGTGGTCCAGTAGCCATTACATAAACCAGGGCTTCTCAAACCTGTCCTGGAGGACCCCTAGCCCTAAACATTTTGTATGGTTCCCGTACATTAGTTGCCATGGCATGGGTGACTTGCGTGAAGGTACCATTGAGGCTGAGGCATATATTGGGATGGTAAAGAGACATATTCTGTCATTAAAAAGGACATAATTTCCAGGGACATTAATGGTTATTAAAGCAAGACAATGCCAGCCCTCATTCTGCATGTGCAACAACTGTGTGGTTTAGACACTGAGTATATGTGCTTGACTGACCTGCCTGTGGTCCAGTAGCCATTACATAAACCAGGGCTTCTCAAACCTGTCCTGGAGGACCCCTAGCCCTAAACATTTTGTATGGCTCCCTTATCAGACACACCCAATTCATGTCTTGCAGTCTCTACTAACGAGCTGATGAGTTGAATCAGGTAAGGGAGACATACAAAATGTGCAGGGCTAGGGGTCCTCCAGGACAGGTTTGAGAACCACTGACATAAACTACTTAGACTAGTCCTATAAGGTTAGTCATCAGTTTTTATTTCTTTAAGACTGGTTATATTTTTTATTTTTTAGTTTGTTACATAAGAAAGCACATTGTTCTAATTTGAATCCAAAAAGTAAGACTGTTTACCCTTGGCTAACTGTTAATTGGTCAGACTAGCTCTTAAGACTAGTTAAGTATTAACATAGAGGCTATGTTTATGCAACTTGCCCCTGGATTCATCAACCTTGCTCTCACTCTCCCTGTGTCCTCAACTACCTTCTTGTGCCTTGTGTAAAGTCTGATCCCTTTCAGTCGGTCACTCTCGACATCACGTTAGTGACCGACGAATTGGGATGTCGCTTAGAGAGACCAATCCACTTAGAGTGTAAACTAAATGAGCCAATGCACATTAGCATGCGATGATTGCATCCAGCTGCCGCTGATCACAGCGTGAGCATAAAAAGGCAGCCGGTGCAATGCATACCAGCTTTTCGCTTCGGAGCCGAGCAATAACATCGTTCTGGTCCTACCAATAGCTTCGTTTGTGACGACGAGTTCAACGTGCTCTAGGGAGCTTTTTGTGTTGGTGGATGGTGCTTCAGCGGTGGTCGTTCCTGTGTCGAGTGGGTTGGGCACCTTAGGCTGCACTACCCCCTGTCGTGCTGCAAGCGGCCATTTTCCCTGTGCGTCTCAGCACGTAAAAAAGCATTTCCCTGAAAGAGCCTATTTCTCTAAAAGAGCTTACACGGGTGGGTCTTTGTAAAGACGACGGATCGTCATTTTAAAGATGCCGTTTCACCCGTGCGTTTCTGGATGCGGTCATTACCTGGTGCCGGGTGATGGTCACGGTCGCTGCCTCACTTGTCTGTGCATTAAACACTCTGAGGTGGCGTTCGTGGATGAGTCATGTTCCCATTGCGGGAAGATAACCATCTCGGAGCTGCGGGCCAGGCTCCGTTACCTCGAGGGGGGCGGAGCTCCGTTGCCTAGTTCTGATCTAGTGTTCGTCCTGGCGGCAGCCAGGTGAGGGCTACTTCGGGCAGTAGCACGGGTGGTCTGAGGGTTACTAGCGCTTTGCAACCAGTCGATCCGCCAAAGGAACGCGCTGGGCCCTCTTCAAAGAGCGTACCAGCGGTATCCTTTGGTGCTCCTCCCAACCACCGGATGTCGATCACTGCATCGGAGGGAGAGCTCTCTGGAGAGGAAGATTCGGCTGTGCTGCCGTCCTCCGGGACGGTGGCAATGCCTGAATCGGGTCCGGAGATGTCGGCTATGCTTTCCCGGGCCGCCGAGAGAGTAGGGCTCGAGTGGAGCCCTCGAGGTTGGACGATTGGTTTCTCAGGGTGGCTCGCGCTGGTTCTCGCGCTGCCTCCGCCTTACACGCTATGGCGTGTATGCCAAGGCACTGAAGGATCTGCACGAGGGTGTTCACGATCCAGAAGTTCTGAAAGAGCTCCGAACCGCTACTGACTTCGCGCTCCGAGCGACGAAGGTCACTGCGAGTTCTTTGGGTCGTGCGATGTCCACACTTGTGGTCCAGGAGCGCCATCTCTGCTCTTTGGGGGATGGTAAATGTACCTCTCCCTCCCCCAGAGGAGGGCCGGTGGAGAATCTGGTTTCGAGGTTCGAGAGCGTCAAAGGCCCTACTCACGCACCCTCTGCCAAACAGTGGAACCAGGTAAGCGTTGCACCGCACACTCAGACCCCTCTTCAACCCCTCTCGCTGCCCCACTGCGGGTACGGCGGTGGTTCTGCTGGTCCCGCTTGCACGGTATCTGGGTGCCTGGCTAGCGCTACCCAGCCTGTCTCGCTGGCTTCTATGGACCATCAGCCTCAGCTGTACGATTCAGTTTGCCCCACGTCCCCCCCAAGTTCAGTGGCATCTGCTTCACGGCAGTGAAGGCGGTCGATGCTCCTGTCTTGTGTGCGGAGATCGCAGTCCTACTGGCGAAGGACGCGATAGAGCCAATCCCTCCAGCCGATATGAAGACGGGGTTTTACAGCCCCTACTTCATTGCACCCAAGAAAGGTGGTGGGTTACGACCAATCTTGGATCTGCATGTCTTGAACCGGGCCCTTCACCGGTTACTGTTCAAAATGTTGACGCAGAAACGCATCTTCGGGTGCATCCGTCCCCGAGATTGGTTTGCTGCAATCGACCTGAAGGATGCGTAGTTTCATGTGTCGATCCTTCCGCGCCACAGACCATTTCTGCGGTTCGCGTTCGAAGGATGAGCATATCAGTACGAGGTCCTGCCCTCTGGGCTGTGCCTGTCGCCCCGTGT